ATGTCCATCCCTAAGGAGAATGAAAAAGCACATGATTAATACTATGGAACACAAAAATAAGAAAATAAAGAAAAAGACTTCCTGATGACATGAACGTGTCTGGATCTTGGAAACATGCTGAAAGAAACCTTGCATGAAACAGTGCATTTTTATTTGCTTTCATGTATATGAAGTCCTAACACTGGCAAAGCAAGCCCTTGCTGGAAATGAGATAGCAGCAGACTGGATGGAGAGTGGATAAGTGGATGGAGAGTCCTGATAGGGCTCTGGGTTACACAGATGCATGTCATCAAAACTCTGTAGTAGTGTATTATGATGTACACATTTCATGCTATGTAAGTTTTACTTCAATCTTTTTACAAATACTAAGTTTTTAGGACCTCAAAGTATGAATCTATGAAATGAGGCTACTAATATCATTAAGTAAACAGTTGATAATGAATCTCATGATGGATCAGGCAAATAACAAATTCAGCCGAACCTACAGCTGAATCCTGTCACTACAGCAGGGCAACCAGGCATATTCTTACTGCTGAGTTATAACAATTAAAACAGGTGAAGTATTAGTACATAACAATGAAATTTATCCTGACTCTAATCAAGATTATGGATCTAACTATGAATGTAGCAATGTACAAAACATAATAAATGATAAACTTTGTGAGTGCCACTAGCCAAATCTAGACTGTAGGGGATTTTATGGGGAAAATTACTGAGTATCTTAAATCAATACCATGAAAATTAGAGAGGGAAAAAGAATATAGTAGAAGGGAAAATCTGTTCTCTAACAGCAATATATGGGCCATGGATCCCATTTAATTTTCAGATAGGATATTTTGGATGGCCTCAGACTTACTGTTAATTGACAGCTGAGGTTGGCCTTGAACTGATCTTCCTGTCTTCACCTCCCAAGTACTAGGATTTGAGTCTTATTTTAAACTGAACCACAACTAAAAAGCATTGTTTTCATAGTCAAGAAAATTGAATGTAGTGTGAATATTAGGAAATTAGAGGAGTTAGAGAGATAGCTCAGCAATTAAGAGAACTTCCTGCTCTTCCAGAGGACTAGGGTTCACTTCCCAACAGCCACATTAAATGGCTCACAACCTCCTGTAACTCAAGCTCCAGGGAATCAGATACCCTCTTCAGCCTCTGCAGGCACTGCACTTATATGCATGCACACGCGCGTGCACACACCTACACACCCACGCATACACATACTCATGCATGCATATGAATAAAAATAAACTATTCTTAAAAGAAAGATAATTACAATTGTTACTTTTACATTTATATTAAATGGTTTATATACGTTTTTATTTTATATTAAATGATTTATATAAGTTATTTATAGTAAACTATAATTATTTTAAGTTTTCTGTTAGAAGCACCGAGCTTGGTAAACAAGTGAAATTATATGATTGGTTTTAGAATACTTGAGCAAAAGCAGTAACAAATGAGACTAGGTAAAGCAAGAAGGGCAGAAAGATTGCTCAGCTGGTAAAGGTGCATGCCACCAAACCTCATGCTCAGTGTGATCCCCATAATCTACATAAGGAAAGGAAAGAAATGACTTGTACAAGTTGTCCCCTGACATGGCACACAGTTACACACACAAGTGTAATGAAAAGCTTCAGAGAATGCCAACAAGAGTTCATACTAGGTGATAGGTATGTGGAAGTTTATTCATCTTCCTCCAATTCTAAGTGTTAAAAGGTGGAAAGGGGGCCTCTTCAGTTCTACATGTTCCTCTAGCTGCATCCTCTGTCTCCGTTCCTAGCACAGAAAACTTTGAAATGGATCTGTGCTTACTGACTCCACATCATCTCTCCCCAGTCCCTGTAGAATCTAGTACAGTGAACAGTTTTATGTCCATCGTGCCACCGATAACACCACTTTTATCATTGTTACCTGTGACACCCAAATCGTGAAATCTAATCACCTGTCTCAGTTTCAATGGCTTTAGTAACACTGCTCACTACTGAGCCTTTTTTCTTGGAAAAAAAAGTTTCTTTGCTTGGCTTCTAATATGCAGGCTCTGGTGTTCACCCTTTTTCACCGTCTGACCATTGTTTTTCTTTGCTAGATTCTTCTCATCTTTCTGCCCTCCATTTACCCACTACGACCCAATTCTCCATTCTCTTCTTTAGTAGTAGTCACTCCCTTAGAAACTTCATTCAGTCTTTTGGCTATAAATACCATTAGCATGCTATTGATCCTCATCTTCCCATCTCTAATCCCAGCTCCTACCCTACCTTGTTTTATAAGACCTAGCCCTCGATAGTCCATCTTTCAAACTCTTCCCCTACAATTCTTCATTTTTCACTGCAAGGCTCATTGCAAGACCCTGCTTGTCAAGGTTTACCTGCCTCTCTCTTGTATCCTGTCTCTCCTGCATCCTCTCTCATGCAGCTCTGTCAGCATTGCCTTTAGAGCATAAGCTATGTTTGATCGGTTCTTGTGATCTATCCATATCACCCTCCTCCTACGCTTGATCTGCAGTGGCCTCTTTTCTCTCCTGTGTTCTTACAGTCACCTGTCTGCAGAACAGTCAGACGATCCTTTCCTATACCCAAAGGTGATCACAGTGTTCCCTGTCAGTAATCTACATGCACCTGTCCATCATGATCTGTGTAAAACCCAGTGTTGCTTGTGGTTTTAAGGATGTTCGATTGCATTCTCTATCACTCTGCCATTGTTCATTCTTTCCCAGCTATCTCTCCTTCCAATCTTCATGCATACCAACCCTCATCACATGTCTGCACCTTTGTACTCACTGTCTTTTCTGCCCAGAGATTGCTTATATGTACCTTTTTTTTTTTAACTTCACTCTAGTCTCTGTTCATATTTTGCCCTAGTAAAGAGGGCTTCTACGACACCCACCCAAATAAAATATCAGTTCCCCAATCCTCACCAGATTACTCTTACAGTATATGCTTTCTGGCTTATAGTTTATTCATTTGTATCTATAGGTTTATTTTATTTTGTACCTGGAGTTCAAATTTTATGACTTTTTGCACATGACTGATTGAAAATGGCTGAATCCACATAGTGATGAGAATTACATAGATTACAGTATAACATTAACTTCAGAAAAAAATAAAGTCAACAAGCTATGAAGAGTATACTTTGGACTTCTGACCGAAGCGTATACTTGTCCCTAAGAAGGTGATGAGATGCTTCCACGAATATGACCAAGAGACCCTGTTGGGATCTAAACTGTGTCTTCTTGTCCTGCATCATGCCCATCCTTTCTCAGGCCTGCATGCTCTAGACAACTGCTCTACACTGAGCTCTATCCCCAGTTCCCATACACTCTTCTCACTGTTTTGTCATGTCAGTTTGTTCTCTAATCGTTTGTATACCTGCTTTTCCTTTCTCTTTTTTCCTCCCCACTTCCCTTCTTTCTCGCTTTTCTTTTTTTCTGTTGTTCCCATATACTATGTACACTTATATTTAAGGAATCATCTTTCTATCTGTTAGACTCTATGTACTTTAAAATTGTTCTAACAGGAGGAGTAACTTCTGGAATAGATTTCTGATACTCTCCTGGGGAAGGAAAAGGATCTTTCCCACTTCTGCTTATCACCATCAAACTTCTGTGTGGGTGTACTAGCTCATTTTTATTGCACAGGGTGGTGGGGCCTTTTTCAAGGGGCCTTTTTCAAGGGGCCTTTTGTCAGCTAAACTTACTTAAAACAATAGCAGCTCCCAGCACACACACACACACACACACACACACACACACACACACACACACACACTGGGTGGCTTAAACCACTTGTAAGTCTATCACAAAAAAGAAAAGAAAATGTACTTTAACTTTAAAGGCTTGTCCGTTCATAACAGACCATGTTTCGAGAAACATTCAAATGCACTGTTAGGCATATCAGGGAATATAGTACTTGGGCAGCGCAAAGGTCAGCACATTACACTCTCTTCTGACGCCATCTCTTCCAACAAGAAACAGATAAAGATTCAGCCCTGTAAGGAAACCACCATTGTTATCACAAGGTAGGAAGGGAAGCAGATCCACAGGCCAAACATGCTCTGGGAGAAATCCCTGGGAACAAAGCTCAATGTAAGTTATTAAAATCCAACATCCATGCCTTTATTCCCAGCATTTAGGAAGCAGAGACAGGCAGGTCTCTGGAGTTTGAGGCCAGCCTGGTCTACATTGTGAGCTCCAAGACAGCCAGAGCTACATAGTGAGACCCTGTCTCAAAAAAAAAAAAAAAAAAAACATTTGATATCATTCTTACTCAGGGGTAGAAAAAAAAAATAAAAGAAATAGAATGGTGATGGTGAACAAAGAAAAGCCATTGGCATTCCCTAAGGATCAAAGTATAGTGACTATAATTGAAATCACATTTTAGCAGGAAGAGATACTGTGTATTTTTGTTGAAACAAATATAAACTGTCAATCAAATAAAGAGACTATTGTACAAAAAAGAAAATATATCTGCATTTATTGAATATCATGCTTTCTGGGTGATAGCTTAATCTTGGAAACAATTCCTATGTCTTTAGAGAAAGCATTCAGAAGTGAGAAGGGGACAAAGAATTCAAGCATATAAAGTAATTCAGAAGCTTGCTTGCTTATTTATTTATTTATTTTGTTTGTTTATTATTTGAGATGAGGTTTCTCTGTGTAGTCCTTGCTTTCCTGGAACTCAGAGATCCGCCTGCCTCTGCCTCCTGAGTGCTGGGATCAAAGGCATGTGCCACCACTGCCAGGCTTCAGAAGCTTTTTGTAAACTGAAAATTGTTTTTATAATAGGTTTTAAATGTGTTACTACACATAGGTTTTATTTGGGGAGGGTGAGGGATCAGAAGACAATTTGTAGGAGTCTCTACCTTCGGAGCCCCAAGTTCTCTAAGCAATCTCGCAGAACCAATCCCAAAGTTTTAAGTACTACTATAGTAGATCATTTAGTTTTATGTAAATTGAATTCTTTTCTATTAATTCATATTTCTGCTTTGATTGTTTTTCTTTTCAGCCCCACTGTGTTCTCCTCGCTTCAAAAGAAAACTCGGCCCCTGTCAAGCTTGGGGGCTTTGGGGTAGCTATTCAATTAGGAGAATCTGGACTTGTCGCTGGAGGTAAGACTTAACCATTTAATGTCTTTGCCCCACCTTCAAAACCTGGTTTCTTTTAAGTTACTTTAAAATTTAAAAGAAGAAACTAATCCAGCCTGAGTGTTTCACATCCCATTCTACCCAGCGCCATTAAATAGTTTTCAATTTAGTGACTCTGTAATCATACCTAGAATTTTAGTCCCTTAAGAATAGAACCTAGGCTTGCAGGTGTAGTTTAGTGGCAGGGCACTTGTCTAGCATGCATGAGGTGCTGGGTTCCATCCCCAGCACTGCTGAAAGTGCTGTGTAGGTTTCTTCACCATGTCCCTAGCACTTTACAGAGGAAAAGCCCCACAGAAGCACAATACAGGAACAGTGCACAAAGAGCTTACTGTTTGGAAGCCGAACTGGACAAATAGAGTCACTTGGAGTATATATGGATTTACCTTTTAGGGTCACAGCATGTCTAAGTTTAAATTTCCTGTCTCCTCTCTTTTTCTATGTATCAAAGAATCCTGCTGAAGTCATCAGTCTATGTGTGTGTGAAGAGCAAATAGAAAAGAATACTGGCTGATTTTCTCATTAACCAAAGCAAAACATGATTTTCATGTTTTGAAAATCATGTGCCATAACAGAAAATGAAAAAGTAAAAGTAGGAACTTTCTTTACTGGTATATAGAAGTGGATGCTAATTCAGATTCCAGTGTTGTGGGGATTTTTGTTTATTCTTTTCAACAGAATCCAGACCACAATACTGCCCAGGGTTTACTTCTATTTCTTAGTTTTGCAAGTTGCACAGTTCTCCATTCTGTATTCCCAGTGTAATCAGTGCTTTCACTTTTCCACCTTTTCCACCTCTTTTCCACTGACAGCTTCATAGAGAATAAAAATATGAAACAGAATATTTCTGTTAAACCAGGTGTGCTGGTGCACACACAGAATCCCAGCACTTGGGAGGCTGAGGCAAGAAGATTGCTTTGAGCCTGAGGCCAGCCTGAACAACATAGCAAGACATGAAAGAAAATGGAGCAAACACTCATGTTAAATTCAAATGCTTTCCAAAGCATAACCATCAACATAGCTGTCTGTTACACAAGACATTTCATTCAATTTGATTGTGGCTAGAGCATCAAGCAGGAATAACATGGACCATCTTCTAAAATAGGAGTGTGAATTATAGTTATATTTTAAAAATCACTCTGTACCACACTGCTCTCTGAATTGAAATTATATTAAGTTTTTTCTAATTTTACATACTTTTTCAGCTAAACATTTCCTATAACATGAGAATGAGAGAAAATGAGCCAACTTCCTTGTGTATGTTATGTATTGAAATAACTTTGTGTCTATTGCGTTGGATCTACATTCTATTCATATTCGTTGTGCAGTAGACTCTATTTTAGCTCACAATCTTGATTGGTGGAGGGAAAGTAGATTAAGTTTGCCTCCATGTTCACTTATTTTTGTAAATTCCATGAAACCTTCCCCTAATTTTTTTCAACAGTTTTGAACTCACAGCATGTCTATTATTCCAGTATTTTCTGTACTCTAAAATTAAAATCCTTTTTTTTTTTTTAACTTTGAAACAGGATTTCATGTGGCCCAGACTGGCCGCCAACTTGATAAGGAATTGAAGACCTAGAACTTCTGATCCTTCTGAACACTACTAGCATTACAAATGTGCCCCATCACACTCAGTTTCATGTGGTGCTGGGGGTGGAATTCAGGGCTTGTACATGCTAGGCAGGCACTCTGCCAGGCATCATCTCCAGTCCTAAAATACTTCCTTTTTTGTTAAATAATTTATTTAATTTTATTTTGTGTGCATTGGTGTGAGGCTATAAAGCCCTTGGAACTGGAATTACAGACAGTTGTGCGCTGCCATATGGGTACAGGTCTTTTGGAAGAGCAGACAATACTCCAACTACTGAGCTATCTCTCCAGCACCCCCTAAAATACTTTCTGGTAGTCAAAATTATTTCTTAATGTACCATTCCATATATTCTTGAAATAACAGTTTTAAACATTATAGCGCCTTTAAAAACACAATGTAGATAAAGGATACATAATTATTTTTTTTTTGAAAAAAAAAAAGCTTTCCTGCTGTTTAAAGTACTTTTGAAATTTTACTAATATTTATCAGCTTTGGAAAAGAAAGCTATTTTCCTGTAGGTTGGAATCATTGATTACCTGCCCTTCCAAATAAAAAGGCTTATCTCTTTTACATGTTCTACATACTAAAACCATTTAACTCCATTACACTTCTCCCATGTAACACTCAACTGTTTAGAGAATCCATTTACCCTGACTACAACCTAGAAAATAATTACAGTGTAGTAAAACCATTTACCCTTAAAACCCATTCATAATCCTCTCCGTTGAGAGCTAAATACATACACAGGAGGTTGCCTTCCTCCTGGTTTTCATAAAATTGTATAGATTTGTGTCCCCTCATAATTTGCACCTGCTATTCTATCTGTTCAGAATGCCTTTTGTCATTTTATCTGTCACATTCAGCCGTTTTCTTAAAGACTAAGCTAGCAATTATTGCCTTTTGAAAGCAAGCATATTATAACTTATCCTAGTTCAGTGACCTATCCCTCCTCTTCCATCTAACCAGAACTACCTAGGTTGCCTACTTCCTTACAAAATTTTATCAAGGACGTGTAATAACAGCAAAGACGAGATTTGTAAGAAAAAGGGGAGCCATCACTCATCCCTGCCGCACCTATCATAGTGTCTAGGGCCTGGCAGGCACTCTGGAAATGTTTAAATGAAAGACTGTGGTAGCTAGTCATTTTCCAGTCAGTAGCAGGTTATAAGCAACAAATTAAGAGGTGCCAGGACTGGAGAAAGCATGGGGAGAGGAAAGTAAATGAAAGCCTGATGACAAAATGCACAGCAGCCATCTGATAGCATAGAGATCCATCACTACATACCTGTGAGGCTCCTGAGAGTATGATCTGTTCAAGAAATAGCCCGAGTGACAAGTCTAAGTCACCACAAAAAGGCTGAATGATGAGTAACATCCTATGTAAAAATAGGCAGGAAACCGTAAAAAGCCTACAAAATGAATACAGTGAAAGTGGTGTGTATGAAGATTCAAATCCTAAAGTTTTAAAAGCATAGCCACTCAGAAGAACATCCTCCATGAAGTCTGAGGGAAGATTTCATTATTGCATTGAAATTAGCATTTAAATATTTATGTACATAGCTGAGGTATTTCATAAACAGTTGAATGTCTGGTTAAGTAATCGATTTCCTGTTCTTAGAGTTTTGTGATCAAAGCCATAAAAGTCAAGTGATCACACACACAAAAAAAAGAAAATTAGTAGTAAACACAAGGAGTTAGGTGAAGTCTTTCACATTCCACTGATGAAATTAAAAAGCCACCACTCTGTGTCAGCTCTGAGCAAATTTTTTAACTCAAAGTATATATCCAAAGAAAGAGCGCTAATTTCTCCATAGTGGGACAGCCTTCAGTCCAGATAGATGAAGAGAGCCTCTTTAGGATGGTTGAGCCTGACTCTGGTGGTTCAGTTATTCCCCACAAGGAGCCCCCACAGTGAGTCACTCTACCTGAGTAGGAAGTCGTAGGAGTTAAGTGTCAAAGAACTTGTCAACAGGTACCCAACGGGTCCTGGTAGCAGTACTGTAAATGGTAGCTTAAGCTCTTGGCCCTATTCCTGATAGCTCCTGTCCTGTCCATCAAAACGATGTTTATTATCCTGCAACCCTGCCTTATGGAGGCTGCCAATGAAATGGGAGGTTCAGCCCACAACACTTCAGCTCCTTTATGCTTCTTGAAGAAGCAAAGCCAGACAATCGAGAAATAAAAAGTTTTCACTCATCAGGTCCCTGTAGCCAGTACTGGGCTTTTGTGGTCCACTTTAAGTAAAGGGATTTTCCCTGCAGAACCCAGAGATGGGAAATGGGTGGGAAACCAGAATGATCTGCAGCAGAGATGCATCTGTAATCTGTAACTATTAGCTCCCTCCATCCCAGCCTTGTAGTCTCTGTAGATGGACCAAAAAGTCTCTTAGGTTATTTTTAAACTCTGGGCCACAGTGAGAGAAAGTATTTTAAAATCTCCAAAGCAAAAGTGATCTTGGATTCAGCATAAGAAGAGACAGGCGGGGTGGGGGTGGGGGCACAAAGAACAGACAGAGGAAGGAAGGGCAGGGCTGAGCCTGCAATATGCAGAACAACTGCCAAGTCTGTCTGGAAGTGGCTGGCCCTGAAGTCCTTTCCCTGGAGAGTTTAGGACTTTTATTCCTCCACAGAGGAAAAGACTACCTTGAGGTTACTCAGTTAAAGATGTTTATAATGTACAAGCAGCTAATACCAGAAGAAATCTGGTACTAGATTTCTTCTAGAAAACTGTTTTTTTTTGGGGGGGGGGTTGTTTTGTTTTGTTTTGTTTTGTTTTGTTTGGGAGAGAGAGGAAAAGGGAAAACTCTTTATAGAAGATGAATCATGAAGGATTGCACAGGAAGGAGGTCTTGGTTCTGCTTTACTGTATGCTGTTTGCTACCATTCTCTTCAAATGTTAACATTAGGAGTAAGCTAAGAATTCCTATTCCAAAAGCCATTGAGAATTGCTTTGCTCAACCTAATAGGAACTTGGCAATTAAAGCAATCTTTTTGCCATCAAATTGTTGCTCACTTAGCCCTTTCCCTACCCCTGCCTCTACTCATGGCAGATCTTCCACGTCTTCCCAAGAGGTACAAGGCTAGCCAGCTTCCTCTTCTCCTTCCCCTGCTCTAAACTGAAACATTTAAATTTCTTCAAGATGCAAGAAAAAATTGCCTATTATATAACATGAAGAGCACCAGGGTTCTGTTCTAGACCCAGTGCTCAAATAACCTATTTTTTTCCTTCCAATGAATTCCTTTCTTAAGAGGAAAAGAAGTGATGAAAGAACATCAATATTGGTAAATTTCTCATTCAGACTGATACTGCTTTTTCATTTCCAGATTTCAATTAGAAAATAAAAACTCATTTCATAAAACCAATTCCCATGTTGTTGTTGTTTTAAACATAGGACGCGTTGGAACACCACACTTTATGGCCCCAGAAGTGGTCAAGAGAGAGCCTTACGGAAAGCCTGTCGATGTCTGGGGCTGTGGTGTGATCCTTTTCATCCTGCTCAGCGGTTGTTTGCCTTTCTATGGAACCAAGGAAAGATTGTTTGAAGGCATTATTAAAGGAAAATACAAGGTAATGGGTTATGGCCATTTCATTTTCCATTTAGATTAAATGATCCTGAGAAAGGTGTCGTTTTGAAGTTATTGTCTGTCTTTGCTCACCAACTGGCTGCCACCTAAATACATCCCACCAGAGCAAAGATCTGTGTTGACATCAGGACCAGGTTAATCAGAATAACAGCAGTGACAGCAGCTGAGACATAGCAGCACTCCATTTGCACCCATACCTGTACTGAGTACTTCACTCAATCTTCCCAGCAGCTGATGGCATAGTTAGCATATAACAAAATCTCCCACCTGCCTTTTTGAGTTATAAGCATTTTCTAATAATAGAAGTCTTCCTTTGTATTTGTTCAGTTGCTAACTTCCTGGTTTCCAAGGCAATGTGCTTCATTCCAACAGTGTCTGGTATTTGATTTTTGTCTATTTTTAAAGCATTGAATACTTACTTATATGCCTTAGTAAAAAAAAAAAAAATTGGACTGCTTGCAATGTCTAAAAATTAAGTTATTTTAAAATTTCCTATTCCTAGCAAATAATGGCAATATTATAGAAAGTGATAAAGTAGCACCCATACCATGATTTCTGTACCAAAGGTTTGCAGCATTGCATCTTAGAGCTTATTTCCCATTTTATTTTGCTAATTTCTCTTCTTGCTTATCTTCATGGTTTCCTTTACACAAGGTCCAGGTCTTCAGCAGCAGTTTAAAACACAGATCCATTTCTGCCACCTCTGTGAACTTTATGGGCCTTGTCTTTTTTTTTTTTTAACATGCTGTGATATGATTTTATCAATATGCATTGCAGCCTCTTTATTATGGAAATGGTCAAACACACAAGGATAGTGATAGGTTTCGGCTTCAACAGTTAATATATTACCAATCTTGTTCTGCATTTCACAGACTTTTAGGTTATTCTAAAATATCTCAAAAATAAAACCAAAACATTTCAACACCTTGATGGCACTTACCAAAAGAAGCAGTAAAATCCTGATCTTGAACATTTGTAAGAAAGGCCCAATGGCACCTTCTAAGTGTCATTCAGCTCACACAGAAGCTGCTTCTGCTTGAAAGTGATTAGACTTATTCCTCATTCACATTTACCAACTAGCTTGATCCTTTTGTCCATTTTCTCATCAAATTTTTGCTAACATACAAAAGAGTGGGTTTCCTTATGACAGTTTCTTAGATATTTTTCATTGTCCTTTGCTCATATTTGCTCTTCTGTTTCCCACCCTTGTCCCTCCTTCTCCCTCCCTCTAGTACTCTTCCTTCTCATGACAATGTATATGTTTTAAATCTAGATTCTGCATATGAGAGAAAAGATGCAATATTTGTTCTTTTCCCTACATGCCATTCCTCTCCCCTTTCTGGTCTTTTTGGATTTCAGAGAATACTGTTTAACTGGATACATGCTAGCATTTCAAACAAATATGACTGCTCTCTAAACCAGTTGTTTTGCCTCTGATAACTCAGTTTTATCTAATGTTGCCAGTGGAAGGACTGTGTTTCCAATGTTAGACTGCTTCATAAAAAGAGCAGAGAATTATCATTCCAAACCCTTTACTCAAAATTTTTAACCACCACTTTCAGATATTTTCATTTGCCAAGGAAAAAAAATCAGTCAGATTTTGAAGGTTACATGAGCCCCAGGAGAGGGAAGAAGGGTGTCTTTAGTTAGGTTTCTACTGCTGTGATAAAACACCATGACCAACAGCAGGTTGTTGGGGAAAGGGCTTATTTAGCTTACAGGTTACAGTCCATAACTGGGGGAAGCCAGGACAGGCACTTGGAGACAGGGAGTGAAGCAGAGGCCATGGAGTAATGTTGCTTATGGGCTCATGACCCGTGGCTTACTAAGTCTGCCTCTTTATACAACTCCGGACCACCAGATGTGGTCTTCCCCTTCCACATCAATCATTAATCAAGAAAATCCCACAGATTTATATATAGGCCGGGCTGATGGAGGCATCTTCTCAATTGAGCTTCCCCTTCCCAGATAACTCTAGTTTGTGTCAAGTTGGGGAAAAAAAAAAACAAACAAGGGAGCATAATTATCTAGGCCCTGCCTAATTAGTCACCACCACGTATTTCAGTTGACCACAGTTTCCAAGAGAATGACAATATTTAAGCAGTCTCATGCCCGTTACCTCATGAGATTCAACAAACAAAAGTGGCTGCTTTTGTCATTTTGCCTCTAAGAAAAGGAAAATAGAACACCATCCAAATGTAAGAGCTCTTCCTACCATGGAGGTGCTGTAAGTTCAAAGCCTCACCTGAGCCAAAGCCCAGCATCTATTGCTAGCCCTCGGCCAAACTGGAATGATTCCTTAATGCTGTGGTGCAAAGTACTGTGATTTCTTTTGGCTTTGACTTGTTATATTTACTCGCCGTCACTTTCTTTTAAGAGGTGACAGAGCTCTCTACTGGTTAAGGCGAGCACACTGAGCCAGAAATGTAGCTCCTTAAGCAGAGCACTTGGCCTTGCATGGTTGAGGACAAGGGTTCTGTCTTCAACACTGAAAAACAAACAGTTACAAAATCCCCCATACTGTATGAAGCTCCTGGCACTAAGCAGCTCCCATATGGTCATTCACTCAGGCAACTTCCACCCTCGTTACTACCTCCTGTTCCCACTTCCCTTCCCAGCTCCAAGCTCTGGCACTTTCCTTGAGTGTTTTTCTCATTTCTGGTCTTAGACATATCCCCTTTCCCAGGTGCCTCCCAGTTTTTTCCTCAACAACCCAAGGCCGTTATCAGAAGACTTTTTGAAAAAACTCATAATTCTTTTTGTTTGCTTTTACTCAATTTTAGCACATGAATTAGTTGTCTCATATCTAAAAGAAAGAAGTAACTTCACTGAGTACAGTATACAAATAGAATTGGCTATTTTACAGAGATATGAGTATCATATATTTTTTCTTAGATATTGAATACTCTAGTCAAAATATCCAGTTAATTTTTGGTTGGTTGGTTGGTTGGTTTTTTGAGACAGTGTTTCTCTGTGTGGCCTTGGCTGTCCTGGACTCACTTTGTAGCTCAGGCTACGCTCAAACTCACAGTGCTCCAGCTGCCTCTGTCTCCCTGAGTACTAGGATGACAGGAGTATACCACCACACCAGGCTTCAATTAATGATTTTTTCATAGCTTCACAACAAATGTTGCTCTAAGTTTTGTTTAGGGCTTCCTTTCTTTGGGAATTTTTATCCAGCCTAGGTTGACCTCAAACCCACAGTTCCCTTGCTGTAGTTTCTCAGTTGCTAACATTGTGGTGGTGCACAACCACGTTTAGCACCTGATCCTGACATTTGAAGACATTAGTTTTCAAATCTATCTTTAGCTGGGTACAGACATCAAATGCCAGCATTCAAGTGGTTAAGGAAGAAGCATTGGATGTTCAAAGTCAACCTGGCCTACACAGTGAGTTCTACTCCATCTGGGTTTAAGGAAACTTGTCTCTACAAGGGGATCTTTCTTAAATTTTTTTCATTTCAAATTTATTTCGGTACTTTTGTGGATCAGTATATTCTTGCCTTTTTAAGTGACACTAAACTAGAAGCCAGAATCATGGGCGTCCTGCCTTTTTTTTTTTTTTTTTTTTTTTGGCTTCAAACTATTTTTTTATTTTATTTTATTTTTTTATTAATAGTTACATTTTATTAACTCTGTATCCCAGCTGTACCTGCCTTTCAAATATTAAAAATATTACAATCTAACAACTCCAATAGAATAATTGCTGCTACAAATACTCATATGAGCATAAAGAACAAGAATCACAAAGCATTGAATGCATCCTCTTCCTTGGGTCTAATCTCTGTTATTTGCTCTGAGAATGTTACACTGGAATAGTATAGGTCATAGAATGTTAAATGATAGTTAACTGTTGACTTCTTGAAGATAACTGTGTATCTTTCCTTGTTTCCTCCTCAGATGAATCCAAGGCAGTGGAGCCATATCTCTGAAAGTGCCAAAGACCTAGTACGCCGCATGCTGATGCTGGATCCCGCTGAAAGGATCACTGTTTATGAAGCACTGAATCACCCATGGCTTAAGGTACCTGCGTTCACAGGTCACCATGCACACAGCCAAGCACCATTCTAGAAAATGAGCCTTTTCACTCTTTGCTTGTTTCTCAGCCTTTTCATCAGTTTTGTCCATCATTTTTGTTGTCTTGTACCTTGTCTGAGACATGAATGATATTCAGCTGTTGGAATGGGCACAAAAGCAAATTAAGATAGTCTGTTGTCGGGCAACACATGTACCAGAGACGAAAAGGAACAGCTGAACACATGAAAAGGAACATTTTTTTCTTACATTGTCTTTTTATTGGGTATGACTGCATACTCATGGGATTGCATTGGTTTTTCAATAGACACTAGGTGTAGATTTATTGTTTTAGGGGAAAGACAAAAGTTGTTTTTATATCCCATTTTTCTAGATTAAGGAAAATCATATCTTGAGACATCCGGAAATAGTATTGTTTCATTAAAACATTATGCCATAATTCCAGGAAATTCTTGCATCATAAGGAAGAATATATATTCAGAGATGTTCAGAATTTTGCCATGTTACAAAAATTGTTACTGTTAGAGCCAAGAGTTCAGTTCAGTCTACCCTGACCCATCATTTATGATGTATATATCATGTCCCTTTCACTAACTAGATGACATTGCTCTAGCCACATTCCTTTTTCCAACATTATCAGTTTCCTGGATCTTTTGGCTCTAACTTGTGATTTGTTTTGATTGCTTACGTTCACATGCATGCATGAACATCTGCCTTATTTGTTGGTTGGTTGGTTGGTTGGTTGGTTGGTTGGTTGGTTTTTCAAGACAGTGTTTCTCTGTGTAGTCCCTGGCTGTCTTGGAACTCTCTCTCTCTCTCTCTCTCTCTCTCTCTCTCTCTGTAGACCAGGCTGGCCCCAAACTCACAAAGATCCACCTGCCTCTACCTCCCAAGTGCTGGGATTAAAAATATGCACCAGCACTGCCTGGCCATCTTCCTTCTCTTGATCCTACAAACTTCTCCAGCTTCTGCCTCCATTCCTTGGTTCCCTCAATTGCAAAACTAAAAAGAATTATCTGTACCCATTGCTCTAATTTCTCCCATCCCTGTCTCTTGTACTCATACTAGTCAGGATCTCAATCCCCATGAAGCACACGAAAACAACTCTATTGGCTATGGGTATGTCTCAATAGAGTACTTGCTTAGCATGAGCAAGGCCCTGAGCTTCAACCCAGAATCTCAAAAACTCAAAAATAAAACACATGTCTAGTCACTACTGACCTTCACATTGCTGAGTCTAGTGGTCAAATCCCAGAGCAGGACATTCTTGGTCTGTTGATAACATTTGACATCCATCTCCTGGAACTTTCTTCCCTTGGTTTCCAGGATACCTGCCCTGTTTTTCCCTTCTGCTAGTGAGGCTACTTCTCCTCACATCTTGCTGACCTTTCCCCCATTTCCCTACCTACCACATTACATGGATTTGCCACTGACTGGCCTTCATCCTTGCTCCACATCTCTTTCTCCATTTCACTCTATACCTGGGAGGCCTCACTGAGTTTGATTGCCTTTAAGTGTCTGTATGTGATGGGTCCTGGATCCATGCCTCTCTCCTGAAGTATTCTTCCTTAACTTGCTGGCTAACTGGGTTTTCTGAATCCTTTTTGATTTTACCCTTTTCTAGTTTCCTGTGCCTCATTTTCTTCATTCTTGCGTTCTTGCTGAGCCTCGGACCACAGGCATATCATTGCCTCAGCCCTCCTGTATTAATCATACTGTTTCCCTAGAATATTCTTCCTCTACATCACTCTGTGGTTTGTTTCCTCACTATATTCAGACCCTTATTTAGATACCAGTTTCTCAGTATACTCTTACCTGGTCACTATTATACCATGATGTAAAAATATTGATTAACACTGCATCCTGGTGACAACAACATGGAATGCTTTTATGGAGCAATTTAAGCATTTCACTGAATCTTGATTCTACTTGGTAATACTTTTTGGGCCTGGGGAGGTACTGTTCAGTGCTGCAGCACTTTCCTACTATGTGTAAACCCCCAAGTATGGTCCCCAGTAACATTAAAGAGAATATTACTTTTGAAATATCATTCAACCTTTTAATGTTTTAATACTACTACTTCTCATTTCGCCAGCAAAGAATACATTCTTCAGTACTTTATTTTGCTATTAGTGTGTTTTTCTCCCTGAGATGAAATGAACATCTTAGAAAATTCCCGTTCCTTCTTTACTTCTCTCAGTTTTTTCTAATAAGGATCTTTTGTCATTTAGAAGTTACTTTAAATGCCAAATAAGGACAGTAGCAGCTGTTTAAATTATTTTTAAGATCCTGTATAAAATGTCTTAGCATTAGACAGTTACCGTGGCTTTTATTATCTTACATAATAACATTTCTTTCTGGAAATTCTTATCTCTACCAATGATTATAGTTCTCACCCTTAGTCTGAACTTCATACAGAATAGATTTCTGGAACCAAAATATTTTAAAATGTCAGTAACATAAAAGGAAAAGTCTGGAAAGGTAAACTCAGAGTCACTGTATGTGAACTACTGTTTATCTGCATTGCTTATGTGTCATCTGGAGATGATGAAGTTAGTGAGGAGCTTATGTAGCTGGAAGGAGCAGCTTTAGGTTACATTTAGCCCCTGTTCCTGTGTATATGTGTCTCATTACAGTGGATGAAAGTTATGTTTATTTAGAATGGCTAAAATATAAGCCAGGGCTTAATGAAAACACCCTCAGTAACTACAAAGTAAAGAAATTGAATAATGAAAATTCTTGTGATAAAGAGTGTCCAAAGTCAGAAGTATCATTTGAGTCAAAAATAATAGCAAAAAGATTTTTTTTTTGGTTACAAAAGTAGGGCTTGCTTATTTATTCCATGTTGAAAAAGAATCTGAGTATTAAATCAAGTAATACGTGAATGTCTTATAGTTGTTGACTTATCTACCTGATAACTTGCTATGAATATTCATCCTAACAAAAGTAAGATTGAGTACACACAGAGTCACAGCTGTAGTAAGCTTTCTAGACTAAAAGGAAGACAGAGTCTGACTGTAAATAGACTTTCATATGGTGCTAATAGAGAGTAAAGAGACAAGGCTCTGTCCTGCACAGATAGCCTCTTCTCCGTGGGCTCTTCTTGGGGGCTCATTTTTTTCACTGTTTTTTTTTTTTTTTTTTTTTGTCCCTTGACTTTTCAGCCAGCCACCTTTCACCTAGCCTAGGGTATATTAGGAATCAAAAATAAAATAAAGTAAAATGGGATAAATAAAATAGCAGCAGTATCAGCCTAGGATTTCTCCTCCAGCCCTGGGATCCCTAAAATGCCTCCCTTCCTTTCTCCAGCTTTCCTTTTCCAGCCATTACATCAAGGAGCCTAGCCAAGGTCTTTAATCAGCAGAAGCATGTGATGAAATATGCCTGCTCTGTCTCATCACTTGCCTCTAGACAGTACTTTAGTACTTCACGTCTCAACTTATTTCCTTATTGTCAATACCTAACACTTTGAGGGAGGTCTTTATGCTATAGGTAGAAAGTATTTTCAAAATCATCTGTAAACCCTATTTGCTGCCACGTATCCAAACAAGACATGTATCTTTCAAGCTGCTTGCCCTAGTCGTCGTCCTACTACAGCTGGAAGACTCGTACCCATTCACCCAGACCCAAAATTGTGCTAAATCGTGATATCTTCTTCCTCTCACTATGCATGTTTAGTCTGTCAGAACATCATGTTCTACCTGTAAAATGCATGTCAAACTAAAACCCTGTATTATTTGAGAAACACTACTAAGAGAATGAAAAACAAAGTGCAACCTGAGAATAAATCCTTCCAAATGATGTATAAAGGACAATCTAGAGAAAGTAAAGAATTCTCCAAACCTCGTAAGGAAACATAAAATGTAATCTAAAATGTGAAAATAACTTGAGCAGACATTTTTTACAAAGATGCACAGGTGATTAATAAGCGCCGGCAAAGCTGCTCAGCATTAGTAGTCATTAAGGAAGTCCAAATAATGCCATAGTGACACTACTTCTACAATTGTGTTAGAATGGCTAAAATAAAAATTACTGGGGCTGGTGACAGATAGCTGAGCAGTTAGAAGCACTGGCTGATCTTCCAAAGGGCTCAGGTTAAATTCCCTACACCCACATGGCAATTCACAATGATTTGTAACTCCAGTTCCAAAGAATCTGACACCATTTTCTGGCTTCCATAGCCACTGTATACACATGACATACATACATACATTCAGGCAAAATCACTTTAAATAAATATAAAAGGAGAATTAATAAATGACTAACCATACCTAGTATTGACAAAGATGTAGAACAACTCTGACTCATGCGGTTATTGTGAATGTGAAAAGATACATCCAATTTGTAAAACAGTTTGATCACCTCTTAAAAACTTAAACATGGTTCATTCACATGGCCCAGACATTCTGTTTGTTCCTTGGAGAATTAAATGTATAGTCATGCAAAGACTTACTTGTATGTGAATGTTCATAAGATGATTTTTTTTTTTACATTTACATTCACTTGGTGGTATTTGTTTATTTACCACGGCACACGTTGTGCAGACAGGTGAGAGGGTAGCTTGTAGAGTTGGTTCTCTTCTTCGTATTTTCTGAGGATCAAACTCAAGTCATGAGGCTTGGCAGTAAGCACCTCTATAATATCCCCATCCTCTCATAATAAAGTAAGCCCAACCTGCCCCGTCCTCATCATTGCTCCCATCTGTCCACTATCTTGTCAGTGCATTCTCTCTACGTGGATGAATCTGCTTGCTCTCTATCAGAATTTTCCGCACATTCTCATTCCTTGGACCTTTGTGGTGGGTACTTCCTCTGTTTCAACCACTCTCTCGATAAATAGTACCCCAACATTTTTTAATTCTTTGTTTAATGATTTTCAGTCTGGTTAGTTCTGATTTGTATTACGCAAATAGCTAGTGAGGTTGAACTTTATTTCCTAATGTTTATTGTCCATATTCATTTCATCTTTGGTGATCTGTGTGTTCATTTAAATAGCCCATTTGTTGAGCTTAGTTCTTGGTTCTTGTTTCATAGTTCTTGTTAGTCATTTATACATTACAGATATTACTTCTCTGTTAGATGTCTGGCTAGCAAAGATATATTTTTTTTCTTTATAGGCTGCCTTTTCAGTCAATTGACAGTTTCCTTTTGTTGTAAGAAGCCTTTTTAATACCATGAGGTCCCGTTTGTTGATTGTTGACTTCATCTCTTAAGTGATCAGAGCCCTCCTGAGGAAAACCTTCCCTGTGCCTGTTTCTTCAAGTGTTTTCCCTATTTTTCCCTCTAGCCATTTCAGAATTTCAAGTCTCACATTAAGTCTTTGATCCATTTGAAGTTGACTTTTGTGCAGCGTAAAAGATAGGGATCTAGTTTCATTCTTCTAAAATAAAGTTCAAAATTACTCTCTTGGAATTATAAGGGCTGTTACAAAGGAAATAATTACTTTCTGGGCAAGAACATGAAGCAGACCCGGCGTTGGAGAAGCAGCTTAATTACATGCCCCTTGAAAAGTCTGTCCTGGTTGGAAGACCTTATAATTTTTGTTGTCTAGTTCTTGCTGACAGTACAGTATGCTGGATCAGTATAGACTTAATTTTTAAGAGCTTGTTTTACCTGACAGTTCATATTGAAAATAGCCTCAATGCAATGAGGTGATATGTATGCGAAAATGTCATAATGAAAGCTATTTTTTACATGCTAACTAAAATAATTTTAAAAAAAAAGATAGCTTCATGCTTTCACGACCATTATGATAACTTTAGCCACCTACTTACATGTCTAAAAGTTAAATAAGCTATTTCTTTACTCCTTTATTGTTGCTAAAAATATTATTTAGCCATTAATTTTAATGTTCATATTCCTTGTTTCAGAACTTGTATCAGCATATGGAATAAAATAGCCAATTTCCTAAAATTAAATCTAAACTTCACCTTTAAGAATCTGACCTTCACTAGCATATTGAAAAAAGATTGATTAAATGATATGTATGTAATAAATGTAACATAATTATAGAATAAATGATGACTTAGATAAGAATAAAATTATAAATAACAACAACAAAAGAATCTGACCTTCATAATTTACGTTCAACATCTTCACTTTTTTCAGTGTTTGTGTATGATAATAATCTTCTTTTATAGGAGCGGGACCGTTATGCCTACAAAATTCATCTTCCAGAAACAGTAGAACAACTGAGGAAATTCAACGCAAGGAGAAAACTAAAGGTAAATTTTTAAAACCACCCAAAAGCTCATTAGGTGTAGTTGGTTGTTTTTTTTTTTTTTAAAGCACGTATACACCTAGAGGAAATTCAGTTCTATTTTTTTAAGACTTATTTATACATTTTCTGCCTGCATGTGTGCCTACATGCCAGGAGAGGCATCAGATCTCATTACCAATGGTTGTGAGCCACCACGTGGTTGCTGGGAATTGAACTCTGGACCTTTGGAAGAGCAGCCAGTGCTCTTAACCTCTGAGCCATCTCTCCAGCTAGGTGTAGTTGGTAATTATGCTTTTATTTTGTTTCAATTCCCATAAACATGTCCTTCTGTTGGCCATTATTTTTGCTACAAATAAATTATTTCTAAAAATTCTTGCCATTTCAGTAAACTTTGGGGTTTTTTAAATCATTTAGGTTAACATTTCAGCATGAATCAAAACAAAATTTAACAACTAGAAGCAACATATTTTAGATTTGTTTTTGTCTTTAAAATTTATATGGTTACATTTGAATCTAAGCTATGTTTTCTCAAATAAAATATTTTGACAGAAAATATAACATGACACATGCCATAATCTTACCACTGAGAAAGCTGAAGCAGGAGGTTCATGAGTTTCAGGCCAGCTTGGGCTACATAATGAGACAGTGCTTTAAAACGTTAAACTGACAATAAAGACTTTAAATTTTTTAAATGTGACCTTAGTTCTCTGGAAACTGCAACTGAGTTAGCATTGGGTCTAGTATTGAACAACCATCATATAGCAATAAATAAAAGCTGAACTACCATAATCAATAAAAAAGGTTTGCAGATCATCGTTTTTATTCTTCCTAGAGAGTTCTCTTGCTGTTCTCCCTGTCCTCTGCCTCAAAGAGTTAAAAAGCACAATGATAATGACCCCTCACAGGGAGCCATTGTAATTCAGAACTTTCTGTAAAGCACCCAGTATTCATCTGCTTTGGGGCAGCAGCACTTGGCCATAAAGATCCAGAGGAAATGATTAATGCTTGTTTGATCTGTGGTGCTGTATATATTAAGTCTGTTCTGTAAGTAGCTGACTGGATAATAGTCTCTAATTAGATGACTCCTATCAATTACAAAACATCTTGAGTATTTTTCAGATGTCCTAAATTATAATACTATTCGTTTAGTGATCTGTACCCCTTGAAGGTTATTAATGGTTGTATACAGCTATAGATTTTATGTAAACATATGGGGAAACTCTCCGGTTATAACAGTACCATGAAAGGGTGAAATGCCCAAAATGGTATCCATTAGCCACATGTAGCTATGTGAAATTCAGTTACTTAAGGTAAAAATCCAAGTGCCAGTTCCACATTTGTTCTATCCTGTTTCAAGTGATCAGTGGGCTAGTAGCCACCATATTGGAAAGCATAGATACAAAACATTCCCACCCTTGTAGAAGATTCTACTGGACATGGAATGACACTGTACAAGAGAACTTTTCACCTATCATTGTTAATGATGAGCATTCTTATATAAGTTTTTCTTCTAATTCTTTTGTTATCAGGGGTTAAACTGACCCTTCTCTCTCTGCCTTATAAAATCCTTGGCAAAAATAGTTGTTAATGATATGCCATCATTGAGATAGTGACCAAAGGAGTTTATTAAGGCTTGGCATCTTTCCTTTGACATGTGCCTAAACTGTTATAGGTTTTAAATGAAAAAAAAAATCTAACCATTCATAGTAAAATTTGGTCAGCTCTCTTGAGTTTAGTTTCCTGTCCAAAGAAACTGTGTCTATGCTTCTTTCTTAATTCTTCTGAAAAATCTCTTTAATCTTTATCTCTGCTTTAGTTTCACATAACATTACTCTATTTGAGGTTGAACCTTCCATTACCCAAATAGCCATTTCAGTCAGGCTTGAGCAATCCCATCACGGGAGACATGTTCGCCACTAAGTGCCACAGAAGCAGACTTGTACCAAAAATAACCAAACTGGTGACTAAGATTCATTTGGACAATGCCAAACTATCACAACAAACAGGGATCACATGGATTTCCCACTTCCCTTTGCAGAGCTATTTAAAGTCTCATGACCCGCCAAGCAACATAGAATTAGAAACATCAGTGTAATCATTATGGGCTTGTTTTGAGCCAAGGCTACAATTCCTGAGAATTGTCAGCCAGCAGGTTAGCACACGCCAGGGAGCTTATTCTCCTCCTTAGACCTCTCCTCTGACCTTCTAGAACAAAGACGGTAGCTTCCCTGGTTTCCAACACCCACCACCCCACCACTTCTTTCCACAAATGAACAGATAGGTGTCCACTCGTCTTTACTCCAGACACTGATTTGAAGTTCCCCAAGTGGTGCAGAACCTAATTCTTAAGACTACCTTAGAGGTGGTTGAAAAAGAAAATTCACTGAAAGGTAATTATTGAATTTTGATTATGGGTAATAGAAGAAATAAGAGGTGAACAGCAGTGCAGGAAGAAGTCGCTCAGGTTATGGTGGGTGGGTGAATCCTGGTTCTGACTCTCCCTCACTTGAAGCCTTGACCAAATTACCTAAAGTCTCTATGCCTCAATCATCTTTATCTGTAAAGTATGACAGTGGTAGCAGCTAATTCCTAGGAGTAGCAGGATTCAATGAGTTACTGTTAGAGCAGTTAGAAGAATACCAGGCTTTGGTAAATGCTCCAAAGATCTTTTTAATGATTAACTTTGTATTTTTGTTAATAAATTATTATTATTTTAGTAGTAGTACCTTTGATTTAGTAATCTATAAATGATTGTAATTCCTGAATAAGCACTGTATACCATTTTAGACTCATGCTAGTCATTCACTTTAATATTTTAGAGCTTTTAGGAACTGTTAAACTTCTATTACTTATTTATTTGTTTGTTTGTTTGTTTGTTTATTTTGTGTGCCCAAAGGTCAGGAAGCACACATGCCATACCAGCATGTGGAGGTTGGAGGACAACTTGTAGCAGTCACTTTTCTCCTTCACTATGTGGGACCCAGGAATTGAACTCAGATAGTCAGGCTTGAAGGCAGGCGCCTTTACCCACTGAACAATCTCTGCCAACCCCTAGGAACTTTTAAGAATGCATAAAACACTGAAAATATTTACTGAACAATCTCTATTCTTATATTTCTTCAAAGTAATTATGCTTAGAATTTTCTTACTATTTATTATCTTTTTCCCTTATATTTTCTACAAGAAGTTCTTATATAATTCTACTTACACCCTTGCCTCTATTTTCCTCAAGTAGTATAGCCATGTAACCCTTGTAGGTGCCTGAAATCTTTCTTTGTCTTGAATATCATATATTCTGCTGTTTTTATATATAAACATGCTTCTGATAAAGTGTAACAAATAAATTAGACACAGTAAGATTAACAATAATTCACAGTCAATCAAATGTGATAATTATAGCAAATATGTTATTATAAAGGCCATTCAGAACATATAAATTATTGATTTCTGGAATTTCTCCTATAAGATTTTTATACCAAGATTGATTGTAAGTAACTGGAATTGAGGAAAGGGAAAACTACTCATGTGAGGCTCTTGAACCAGCAGATTAGCATTGCCTGGAGCTTATGAGAAATAGAAATTCTTGGGTTGTAATATATTCAGATAAGAAAAGATAAGTCCCAGATTTTTTGGTTTGTTGTTCTCCTTGTGGAGCTCCTGTCTCCTCCAGATCCTTCATCTCTCTCTTCTTTCATAAGATTCCCTGCATTCTGCCCAAAGTTTGGCTATGCATCTTTTCTGAAACTGATAGTCCAACCAAGGACCATGCATGGAGGTAACCTAGAACCCCTGCACAGATGTAGCCCAAGGCAACTCAGTCTCCAAGTGGGTTCCATAGAAATGGGAACAGGGACTGTCCCTGATATAAACTCAGTGACTAGCTCTTTGATCACCTCCCGATGAGAGGAGAGCAGCCTTACCAGGCCACAGAGGAAAATAGTACAGCCAGTCCTGATGAGACCTGATAGGCTAGAGTCAGATGAGGAGCATGGGAGGAGATGAGGGAGAGAGGATGGGATTGAAAGGGGACAAGGCTACAGCTAGGATACAAAGTGAATAAATTGTAATAAATCAAAAATGATTAAATAAATTTTTTAACAAAAGAAAAGAAAAAGCATCCATTTAGAAAGAAAATAAAATTGTTTTTGCAGATGGCATGGCTCCATATTGTAGAAAATCCTAAGAAATTCACTAGAAATTTATAACAATTATAAGTTTATAATAATTATAGATTATGAATCAGAAAAAAGTGAATAATATATGTCTGCATATATATATATATATGGATAATTAACAATCTTCAGAGGAAATTAAGAAATAAGTCTATTCACGACAGCATAACAATGAAATGTTCAGAAATAAATCCAACAAAAGAAATACAAGATGTGTAAATTAATATTGCTGGGATAAATTAGGAACCTAAGTAAAAGAAGACTATGCTATCTAAGCTACGTGCCCTGAGGTGCAGGCTCCTTAAGTGAGACATTAGTTACTTTCTCATTGCTGCAGTAAAAATACCTGACAAAAACAATTTAAGAAAGGAAGGGTTCACTTCGGCCTATGGTTCAAGTGTATAAGGACATGACAGCAAGAGTATAAGAAAACTAGTCATGTTGTGTCCAGTCAGGAAGCCAAAAGAAACAAATGCTGCTGCTCAGCTCTTTGTCTTTAGTCAGCCTTGGTCTCCAGCCCAAAGAATGGTGCTGCCCACAATTAGGGTGGTTCTTCTCTCTGCAGGTAATCCTCTCTAGAACACTCTCATAGACTTACCGAGGGGTGCTATCTTTGGTGATTCCAAGTGCAGCCAAGTTGACAGAGGAAATTAAGCATCATGAGAAGGGTACACTGCCTTTTTACCCAGGCACCAGCTACTAAAGGGGTTATGAACAACGGGGTGTCTGTTGGTATGTGAACTTGTCAGTCTAGCAACACACTCAGCAGGGTATCTCTTCCAAAAGTTATCCCCTTTACTTCAGGCACTTTTTTGACCCCCAGAAAGCACATTTCTCTATAATAAAGCAAGAACCATTATATATGCATGGATGAAATTCTCAAACAGTTTTAAAATGTTTCCTAAGTTTAAAAAAGATCCTTTAATCAACGTGGCACATTTTGGCATAAAATATTTTGATCCTCTTCACTCTCGCTACTGATTTTTTTTATAAGTAGACATTATCTGTCTATTACAACAATTTTCATTTTAACATGTTTTTGTTGGAAATAGCTTCTATTAAACTGAAATATAATAGGACATAATTATAAGGTTTGGCCTTTAAAGGAAAAAAAGTTATCTAAATAAAAGCAATAGTCTACATTTGAGTGAACTGACTACAGTCAATTTAGGAAATGTAGTTTGAGCCAAGTGTGGAGCCATAATCCCACACCTGTAATCCCAGCACTGAGGAAGCTGAGGCAAGATGGTTTCAAGTGCAGAGCCAGCCTGGGAAAGCTAGCCACACTGTTTCAAAAACCCCCATCTAAAACAAGGGCAACAGTGATTTGAAACCAAGCAGTTTGATTAAGAGGATAAAACCACTAATTGTCCTTCATATAGAAAGCAAGCAAGAACTTCCTCTAAAGGAGGCACACATGAACTCTCAGTAACTGTGATTTCCTCCATGGAGTCTGCACAAGACAGTGCCCATAACAGTCCTAGGTGGGAGAGGGGCTCATGGGACCCGACTCCACTCAAAGAAGTTCATGGCAGTCCAGGGCTGCTAGGGGAGAAGTCCTAGTGTAGTCGCTTGGTGAGTTACCCAGGTGCCAGTGGATAGCTCCACAGGCAAATCCATGCAGGCAGTTCTGGTTAAGCCCAGAGAAGTCACGAAGTAAAAAGAGACACAAAGCAGAAAGACATGAAAGCAGAATGGGGACTTAGTGAAAGGATGTGGGGGGGGGATGGGTATGACCAAAATATATCAAATACATATAGAAATGGTCAAAGAAGAAATCAGTTTTCAAAAGGAAAAGAACACAAGCAGACAGAGCTTTCTGACAACTCCACAACTTTCCTTTATTGGTTTTGCAAATTGCAACTGCATACCTTGCCTGCTTTTCTGCCTGGCGATCAGTCCCCTCCAGCATTCCTCAACCGCATAAGAAAAGGCAGTTTAGGACTGCTGGTTTAGTACTTTAAAAGCAGAAAGTTGCAACTTTATCATAGTTTTTTAGAGATTTTGAATATTATTAACTTAAAATTATGTTTCATCCTTAAAACATGCTCAAGTATACCTAGTAAATCCAAAGACAAAGCTTCTTTGTCAAAACTAGATAAACCAGAAAAATTGGACATCTGCTGATATAGGATATCATTTATATTGATGCCCCCAATAGGCTCTTCACTAGATGTAGTGTGTTATGGGAGTTGGCAAACAATGGCCTGAGGGTCTAGTCCAGCCCACTACCTTTTAGGGGAATATAAAGTTTTATTGAAATCCAGTGCCATATATTCATTTACATTTTGTCTATTGCTTTTGAGCTTTGATAGCAGAATTAAGTAGTAGCAAGAGAAACCATGTAGCCTTCAAAGCCTAAAATATTTATGGTCTGGCCCTTTACAGAGTTACAAACAACAACTGTTAACTCCTGGTAGACTAGAAACCCTTACAATTAGGAAGAGAGGTCAGTGGCCAGGCTTGATTACATCTTTAATCACAACAGGGGCTAAGCCTGTCTGGACCTGTTTTCCCACCCATGAAATGAATCTTTTAGAATAGCCCAACACTGAGATTGACTCTCAACCTGTAAAAAAAATTCTGTGACTATGTGAGCTATTTTGAAATTGTTCTCCTGTTTCACATAATTGTCTTGGGAGTGGAACCATATATGGTCACTGAACTGAGAAACTAAAAAAGCCAAACTGCTAGGAACTTACTATTTCAAAGCAATTCCTGTCTCAGGCTCTTTTAAGTACCAGTACAAGTATCTGTTTATAGCTCTCCAACTACAGAAGTAGCTAGGGAAAGCCTTAAAAACCTAACACTAACATACCAAGAAACTCGGTTGAACTCCCCTCTAAATAAACAAAACATCTCTAAAATTCTGGTTAGGGTGTGTGGGAAATATGATTTGATACATAAGAATTCCATTCCACCCAGTTTTTTTAGGGAGCATGTATATTATGCAAAGTGAAATAAGATTCTTCTGTAGAAAGAAGACTCAACAATCACTATCTTTCCTATGTGATTGATATAATTCCGAAAAAAAAAAAAAAACACTTCCCTGTTTTAACCCTGCATTACAGGAAATTTAGGCATTTGCCTCAAATGGCAGTATCAAAATCACTTGTGTTTTATTTTGTGTCTCACTTTTTTTGTCTTTTTTATAGTAGTGGTGGTAATGGCGGTCATTGTTATTGTTGTTCTTACTGCTGCTCTGCTATTTTGACTCATGGTCTTTTTACTACATAGCCCATGCTAGACTGGAACTCCCAACCTTCCTGCCTCAGTTACAGGCATGTAACATCATGCCTAGCATCTGTCATTCGTTTCCTATTTTCTTTCTTTTTTTCCTTCCTTTCTTTCTTTTTTCTCTCTTTCTTTCTCTTTCTTTCCTCTCTCTCTCTCTCTCTTTCTTTCGACAGAGTTTCTCTGTGTAGCCTTGGCTATCCTGGACTTGCTTTGTAGAACACGCTGGCCTCAAACTCACAGAGATCTGCCTGGCTCTGCCTCCCTAAGTGCTGGGATTACAAGCGAGCACTACCACGCATGCCATCTATAGTCTATTTTTCAATTAAAATGTAGAGAAAGAAACTTAACATTGTCCCCCAAAAAAGTAGACCTTACGGAAATGCATTGCTACTAACATTTTCATGTATTTACCAACAAGTGCACTCATGTTCTGCCTCTATTTTACTAGGCTTAGTAATGATTTATACTTCCAGAATGTGCAACAGTTTTCAAAGCACTTTTGTGTACACTAAGACTTTGGGTGATTTTATATAGTAAAGTAATGTACCTTCCCCTTTCTATTCTCAATTTACAGAAAAGAAAACCTTTGGGAGACAGATAGCTCAGTCAGAAAAGTGCTTCCTGCACAAGCATGAGAACTGAGTTCCATCTCTAGCACCCACATAAGAACACACAATTCCAGCACTGAGGCCTCTAAGACAAGAGAGAACACACAGTCCCAGCACTGAGGCCACTGACACAAAGGATAGTTTTGTCAGCCAGTCCCTGTTCCCAGTGAGAGACTGTCTCAGAAAACAAGTGGCTGGCTCCTGAAGAATGATACCTAGGGTTGACCTCTGGCCTTCACATGAACACATTTACACATTCACATAAACATGAGCAGGTAGACATGCAAGAACAAGTAAGCCTGAAGAGCTTTAATGTTCTACTCAGTTGTGTAGCTCGAACAGGATGGAGCTAGAGAGCAAGCGTAGCAGCTTACAAGTTTTCCTATTACTAAAACGGTAACTCATGTTGCTGTCCCACACAGCAGTCCTAAAAGACGCTAGGCACTCTGTACAGGAGTGCTTCTCTACAATGGTTCGATCCTACGATCCACGTGTAACCAGGTGTGGTGTTCCATGCCTATAATACCAGCACTTGGGAGGAGGTAAAGACAGTAGGATCAAGAGTTTGGGGCAGCCCCAACTACATAGCAAGTTCAAGGCCAGCCTGTGCTACATGATATCCAGTCTCAAAAATCAAAAACAAATTACCTGTAGTTGGTTCTGATGTGCGGCCTGACTGAGAATTAATGTGCAAGAGCCACACACTCATTGTTACAAAAAGAAGAAAGGGAAAAGATTGAAAACTGAAAAACTCATAATCCTACTACTCAGCGTTATTAACTACTCAGTATTGTTAACATTGATATATGTTTACTGTTTTATAATTATTAACTATTTTTCGAAAGAAGCAAGCAGACTGCACACTATTTTAAAATATAACCTATTGGGCTGGAGAGATGGCTCAGAGGTTAAAAGCACTGACCTTCCAAAAGTCCTAAGTTCAATTCCCAGCAACCACATGGTGGCTCATAACCATCTATAATGAGATCTGGTGTCCTCTTCTGGCTTGCTTTATATACACACACAGAATAGCATATAAATAATAAATAAATAAACCTTTCAAATATAGAACCTATTGCAAACATCTTTCTATTTTGTTAAACATCCTTCTACAGCATCGTTTTATGATGATAGTGTCTTGTACCATGTGGTACCTGTGCAGGTCCAAGATGTAATTAGTTCATACACTTCATTCTGCATGTGGAAATACAGTATTCCAAAAATTGTTTTGAGAGCCCCTTCTCTTCTAGACAACATCTCTTACAAATTTTACTTTCTGAATGATCCTTAAGCTGAATAACCATTTAGGTAATGCTTTATGTTTGTGTGTTTGTTTTAATTGTATACTTTTTCATCTTTTTTTTTTGTGTGTGTGTGTGTGTGTTAGGGTGCAGTACTAGCCGCTGTGTCAAGTCACAAATTCAACTCCTTCTACGGGGACCCTCCTGAAGAGTTGCCAGATTTCTCCGAAGACCCTACCTCCTCAGGTAATTGAGTAATTTACTCATTCACCTCTATCTTTTCTCATCCATTCTGAATAATCTTTGTGGGAATTTAGTCAAGTCCTCCAAAAGATTGGAAGGAAGTTTGCCACCCACTAAGTCCTACCTACACGTGTCTGGTTCCTCTTTATTTGAATACAAACCTGTCCCCTCTGAATGCTCCCAAACCAATATTATACCAGTTTCTTTTTTACCTCAATACTTCCTCCAAACTACACTCCAAACTCTATACTCCATTTCATCCACTCCAATGTCATATTTAGACTCGCTGGATCTTGATGACCATCTTCTCCTACTGTAAAACTTTCTAATGTAAGATTTTCCCATGTCAACCACATGGAAAGAGACTTTAAGACAGCACTGCTTGAAATGAAGTCTTTCCATGTAAAAGCTGTCTTACAGTCACCAAGTTTCTTTCTTCATAAAGTCTTTAACTCATGTGTACAAGTATTCCAAGAAGAAGCCTTAAAAGAGTTACCTGTTTTGATGAATGATACATAAGTACTCCTTTAAAAAAAAAAACTGCCAGTGCTCATACAATCAGATGTAAGTGCTCACATTTACATCTGACCAGTGAAGTATTCCCAAGGACCATTCACTAAAAATCCAAAAGATCAATTTAGAGGCAGAGTGGTTAGAAGGGTTTCTTCTTCTTCTTCTTCTTCTTCTTCTTCTTCTTCTTCTTCTTCTTCTTCTTCTTCTTCTTCTTCTTCTTCTTCTCCTTCTCCTTCTCCTTCTCCTTCTTCTTTCTTCTTTCTTCTTTCTTCTTCTTCTTTGTCTTCTTCTTTCTTCTTTTTCTTTGTCTTCTCTTTATTTTTCTCTCATACAGTACATCCCAACCACAGCTTCCCTACCTCCATTACTCCCAGTTCCCCTGCCCCACCACCTCCTCTCTTCCCCAGATATACTGTTCCTCCATTTCCCTTCAGAAAAGAATAAGCCTCCTAGGGATTTCAACCAAACATGGCATAACAAGATGTAATAAGACATAAGGCATGTAATAAGCTATAAGGCATAAACCTTCATATCAAGGGTGGATGAAGCAACCCAGTAAGAGGAAAAAAGTCCCAAGAGCAGGCTAAAGAGTCAGAGACACTCTACACTCCCACTGTTAGGAGTCCCACAAAAAAAATAAATTAAAAAAATAAACACAAGCTAAACAAACACAGTGTATATGCAAAGGACCAAGCACTGGCCTATGCAGGCTACATGATTGCCACTTCAGTCTCTGTGAGACCCTGCAAGCCCTACTTAGTTGATTCTGTGGGCCAGATTTTCCTGATGTTCTCAACTCCTCTGGCTCCTGCAATTCCTCCTCCTCTTCTTCTGCGGGTCTCCTCTAGCTCTATCTAATGTTTGGCTGTGAGGCTCTGTATCTGTTCCCACCAGCTGCTGGAGGAAGCCTCTTGGATGATGATTAGGCTAGGCACCAATCTATGAATATCATTAGGAATCATTTCATTGTTTTTGTTGTTGTTGTTGTTGTTGTTGATTGATTAGTTTTGTTTTGTTTTTGTTTTGTCAGACATGTTTGGTTCTTCCCTAGGTCTCTGAGTGATCCAGTTTCCAGATTTTAGCCATCTAGGCAGTGTCAGGCATAGGTTCCCTCTTCTTTATTCACTTGACTCCTGAGTCTGTCCTCTGGCCTCATATTTACTTCTGTTAGAGACAATTTTTTTTTTCACAGTTCAAGTTCTTTATTTTTTTGGACGTCAGGCCATGAACGTGTATGGAGTGGACTCCAGGAGCTCATGGGCTCCAGGAGCTCCGGCTCCTTCCCATTGGTCCTCACAAAGTGTGCTTCTCTGGAGGTCGCAGGCTGGTGCTTGAATTCAGCCCAGGTGCCCTTCTCTTTGGCCTCCTCCTTCTTCTTCTAGTCATCCTCCTTCACACACTTCAGGAAGCTGTCCCCGCTCTTAGAGTGCTTGATGTGCTCAATGTGCACGTTGAATTCTCCTGGTAAGGATCTTGCCCTTAACCTGCTTGTTCACAGTGGTGCTCACAGCATGCTGGGTGACATTGGGGACTCTTCTGGTTTTGCTGTGGTAACACTTAGGGAGCATTCTTTTCTGAACAGTGCCCATTCCTCTGATGTCTGCAGTATCACACTTTTTGTAGATTCACGTATATGTGGCCAAAGGAACAACTCCTTATTTCCTAAAAGGCATGGAGAACATATAACAAGTGTCCCTCCACCTTCTCTTTGTGTTCGTCATCTTGGCAAGTTAGTTCAAGATGGTTGCCCGGCAGAAAGGAGATAAAATCTTTATGTGATGGAATTTGTCCCCCTGATTTGATTTTTCTATTCTTAAGCTGCGTTCTTTAATATTGGAGTATGAACATTAGAATCCTGACTCAGATTCCTTCTTACAACATGAGTTGTATGCCCCACAGTCGGTAATAGAAGAGTGCTTTTCTCCCTGAAGGGTCTGGAAATGTCTTCAGTGCTTGTGCTTCTACCCTCTACTCATGCATATGCATGCACATCGACTCCAAATCCCTTACTTATGGTGTATGTGCTTACACCATATGTAAAATGACGGAACTGTGTTTCCTATTTCAGCAGGGGTTTTTTTATTTCTTTTTTTCTTCTTTTCTTTTTTTTATTTCTTTTTTATTTATTTATTTATTTTTTTCTTTCTTTCCTATTTCAAAGTGCTTTTGACTTTTACCAACTGGGATATGAATCTTCCTCTTTTGAGTGAAGGTGATTTCCAGACACATTCAGAATCTTAGAGAAGTGACTGGGGGAAAAGCCCAGAGGCTTCCTCTTGTACTGCCTGAGCCTTTACAGTGCATTAGACTGGGGCATAGTTGTGATTGTACATGTGCTCTGCAGCATTTCATCTCTGCCCTTTTTTTCTTCCTACAATATTTTGTTCCTATCCCTGTACCATTTTTAGAGTTTGAACATCTCTCTTCTGGCTTTCAGCATAGATTACACTTGACCCTATTTAGGGAGAGTGGATCCAAGCATGGTGTTTATTTCATAGTTTTGATGACATGATAGAGTGACAACTTGTACTATATTTAGAATAAATTACCTCTTTGGGACCTTTTGGGATGGTCACTGTCTGTACTTTCAACTTTCATCTTTTGAAATGGGCCTAGAAAGTGGTACGGTCCTTAATTTTCAGAATTTGCCTTCAGTTAATATTTTCCTCTTCCCATTTAACAAGGCTTTAAGTGTTCTTTTCCTAGAAAAGGTTATATTTTTCTTTACAAAAAATTTAACTATATAAACATGCTTATTTACATTAAATATGTTTTATCACCTGTTTTTTCTTCTTCAGTACAGTTTTTAAATAATTTGGTTAAAACAGTTTTCTTTTTTAGAGTAGTACTATGTTTTTAAGCAGATAAAAAACAAACAAAAAAACATTCTTCTATCATCTTGCAGGCTACCTGCAAGGTTTCACATTAATTATTCACAATTGAACATTCATTTTTGGCTTCCCTTTCCTGCATTCTCACCTTGTTACATTCTTTTTTATTTTTTTACTTCTGGGAACTTCATGATCTTCTGAACAGTGTATATTTTAAATGGCTTATCGTAACTATCTGTAAAGATTTTTTTTCAGTGATGCTATTTGGATGCTACAAACGAAAAGTAGAAAAATTAAAATCTAAATGTAAATCACTACTCCAAATGAAGAGGAAATTTTTATGTAGTCAGAGGTCAAAAACAAAGGAAATTTTAAAGTGTAACATTTTTCCAAACACTTCACAGAGCTATCAGAAATTATTCATACATTTCTAAAATTAATTTTTAATACTAAGCCATTTTCAGGAAGGCATTCTGTCCTAATCAACATTACTGACCTACAGCCATCTGCCAACCCACAGCCTCTCTGCAGCCAACAGGAATACATCAGCTGCAGAAGCCATTTATGTATTTTATCTGGACTCAAATAAAGCTTTGCACTTTTGTAAATGAAAATATCTACATTTGTTTTTCTTTATCTCCATCTCATTTTTGGTGTTTTCATTACTTTTCAAACCTAAAATCTTCCGTTTATCCCTATGCTTTTTCATTTTAAACTCCCAAAGTTACTCTTCCCACTGTCTTTCTGTTTGAATTTGTATGGGTTTGTTTTACACTACAAAACCAGAAGCACCTTTTGTGATTACCTGCAAATGCATCCAAGCCAGAGACAAGAGAGAGAAATGACTTCAGAACCTATGCTCCTAGGGTGGTGCTGGGGTAGACTAGAAGAGCCAGGAGGACAGTGAACAATGCATTTCACCAGCTGCCCATTCTTTACATGTGCTCCACCTTACCTTTTTTATTCTTATGAAATGATAGGTAGGTCCATTTAAAAAGAATAAGCTTAACAAGAGTAATAGTTGGTTATCCCAATTTTGTCTCCCAAAATTCCTTGAAATTCTTTCTACAGCACTCTGAAGTTTGAGGACAATGACTAAAGCTGCTTGCTCACAAAATGCATGTTATTTTCTTAAAGTAAAATCTATTATCACAATGAGTATGCATTTAAGAAAATATAAGTATTTAAAAACACAGTTTAAAAATTAACCAGCTCCCCAGCCTGTCATCCAAAGAAAAGCTGAACATGTTTAGGTGTGTCATTGTAATGTAAAACAATTTTTTTACTGAAAAATGCTTTTTCTTTTTTTTTTCAATTTTAAATGTTTTTTATTTTATTTATTTTTTTTAGAATTTTTTTTCTTATCAGTTACATTTTATTAACTCTGTATCCCAGCCATGTCCCGATCCCTCATTCCCTCCCAGTCCCTCCCTCCCTCATCTCCACCGTGCCCCTTGCCAAGTCCACTAATATAGACTATCGAAACTCATTCGTTTTGCTTTCACTAGATTCACCGAGGTTACTCTTATAAATAAACAGTATCGTGTTGCTTTGTTACTTAATTCAGAGTTGAAAGCGCCTATTTTCATTTCAAAGCAAAGAATTTAGAATGAGATCACAAAAATTGTTGTCTGAAATTGGGGGAGGGGAGAGTTTGCTGTGTGTGGTGGGGGGACTGTGCTAATGGCTTATCTAGTGGGCCTAACTATGGCTTGATGACCTGCTTGCTCTAAAATAACGTTTGTCCTTTGTCCATATGCTGCCTTCCTCCTAGGACTTCTAGCAGCAGAAAGTAGGTATCCCTTTGTTTTCCTCTAAGGTTTATCTTGATGCAAAAGTGTTTGGCTTTGCATGGTTCATAATTGGTTTGACTTTTTCCATGGCTGTTTGTGTTTAGATGTCTAAATGCGAATTTTAACACTGTTTAGCCATAAAATTAGAACTTGTATATACTGATTTCCCGAGGCTTTGTTATGCAACTTAATTTCTCACTTCTTTCGGGAGGGGGGGTAAGGCAGTGTTAAAATTTCAATGACACTTAATATTATTTCACATCTGAAATTCAAATACAAATATATTAATTCTGGGGGAAAGGTAAAATATTGTTTTGAAGTTAGCTTTCAAGAAAACTTTTAGAGTGAGTTTTCTTTTGACAATTTTGTTACACATGGGTGGTTTTTATTGCTGATACAGAGTCCATTCTCAGTTTATCAGTTTGGGCTTTGAAGTAAACTCTGAAATCATGTCTTTTAACAATTCCCACAATCAGCTACAGTGGCCAGAAGGCATAGAGTACGAGCCCAGCAACTCAGGAGGCTGAGGCAGGAAGGTAACTAGTTGGAAACCAGTCTGGGCTATATAGTGAGACCCTGTCTCAAAAAACTCAGAGTAATGACAGATAGCATTTAACCTCAAAGAGATGTAATTTGAATATGTGGGAAAAATAGGCTGTAAGAAATATGCACACTGAGCCAGGCATAGTGGCTCACGCCTATAATCATAGCACTCGGGCAGAGGCAAGCAGATCTCTGTGAGTTCAAGACCAGCCTGGTCTACAAAGTGAGTCCAGGACAGCCAAGGTTACACAGAGAAGCCCTGTCTCAAAGAACCAAAAAAAAAAAAAAAAGAGGAAGAAGAAGAAAAAGAAGAGAGAAATACGCACACATATAATAAATAAAATTGAACCAGTCCACATAATGTACATAGATTACATCAATGTCAGTATTCAAAATGCAAAATAAAACTTTTCCTCACTGCTTACTAAAGTGAAGTAAATAAGAGACAAACATAAATGAGAAAATCCGGGTGCCAACAATGAAATTTGTTTGAGTTTTGTGGCATTTGATATTTATTTTATGGCATTTGAAATTTACAGCCAATACAAAAATCTCAGCTTGTGGTTTGTGGCTAAGAATTTCAGCTCCTGTGGATCAGAAGGAGTGTGGCTTTGTTAAGTGCCTCTGCCTCAAGATCTCTTGTGATGGCACTCCAGAGCTGCCATCCCCTTGAAGGCATAATTATGGGAGAAATCTTTGAAACTCACCCAGCGGTGAATAGAACTTTTCTGTTCCTCGCTGGCTGTGGGCTTGTCGCAAGGCTCTTCCCAACCTGGCCGCATGCTGCTCTAACACAAATTACTAACAGGAAGGCAGGGCTTGTTCCCAAGACAAGGAACAGTTCAACCTTGCCTCAGAAGTAACAGTCCATATGCTCAGGCCCCATGCCAGGAGAAGTAGTTGATCATAAATGGTAAGAATAGCAGTGAGCAAGATCTCAGGGGTCCAGAGGTACATATTCGTGCTGGTGGCTATAAAAATGGAAAACAATCAGGCAGTCACTCTGTCCTTCCCTCCCTCCTTCCTTCTTGCCCTCTTTCTCTCCTCTTTCCTTTTTTTTTTTTCTCTTCTATCCTTTGTAATCAACCACACCTATCATCTTGGGAATGAGCATCCTATCGGTCATACTTACAATCTGTATAAAACTTTACACAAACGAGCATTTAAGGCTAGCAGTATATTGTTAAAGCCCTTTGAAAGAATGGTGCTCAAAAATTTTACTACCTTACCAGGCCACAGAGGAAGGTAATGCAGCCAGTCCTGATGAGACCTGATAGTATAGGGTCAGAGGGAAAGGAAGGAGGATTCCCCTATAAGTGGACTTGAGAAGGGGCATGGGAGGAGAGGAGGGAGGGTGAGATTGGGAGGGAATGAGAGAGGGGACTATAGCTGGGATACAAAGTGAATAACTGTAATTAATAAAAAAATTAATTTAAACAATTTTACTGCTTGTGCCCAGTGGTGCCACAACTTTAATCCCAGCACTCAGACAGGTGCATATCTATGAGTTCCAGGCCAGCCTATTAGTTTACATAGTGAGTTCCAGGACACCTAGAGTTCCTGTCTCATTAAAAAAAATTTAAGAATGTTACTTCTTGGAAACAGACTATTTTCATAAACATAATGTCACTAGAATTGCAACCTCTGTATGGTAATGAAATATATATGTAGCGTTACATAAGAAACTTAAGCTAATACATTTTTGAAGTACCTGTATTATAATCTGCACATAAGGATCTGAGACATTTATCATCATATACAAGTTTTCACAACCAGAATTGGATATAGTACGTTCACCAGAGTTTAAAATAAAGTTTCCATTGTGGGATTCACTGTTGCTTATAACATGACTGAAAGCCTGAATTTGCTTTGTGCACTGAAAGTAAAAGCTGTTGGCTACGGGTTGGTGGTGAGAAGAGTCAGACTGCAGTTAGACAAGGGTGGATATTTTTTGAGTAATGGCAATTGGTGAGTTTAACTTAATAAACTTAATAAAGTACACTTGAGCAAGAAAAAAAATTTGAGGCCAGGTCTCACTATATAGCCCTGGCTGGCCTGGGATTCACTGTGTAGACCAGGCTGGCCTTGAACTCACAGAAATCTGCCTTCCTGTCTCCTGAATGCTGGGATTAAAGGCATGTGCCATCACACCTGGCAAAACCACATTTTTAAACATTGTATTGCTTAGCTGGGGACAGGGTTCACACCTATAATCCCAGTACCCACTTTGGAGGCTGGGACAGGATAATCATAACTTCAAGGCTAGCTTGAGCTGCATAATAAGACCCATCTCAAAAAAAGGTATCGTGTTTGCAAGTGAGAGGCTTTGATTGGATGATTAGACTGTGTGTACAGTGGCACAGTGTTGTGTTAACGAGCTACTCATGAAATAGGCAATAGAGGGTATTGCTACCCTTGAGAAGACTCAAGATTGCACTCATATGCTGCATTTGCTAATGTTACCTAGTTGCATAGCTCTGCATGTATACAAGAAATGCACACAAATCTTTCTTGAAATATCTGCCAGATAAACAGGAGCACCAAAGCCCAATGAATGGTAAACTTGAGATTTGTGTACTTTGCTGTATTTAAATTTTACCTGAGAGAAGAATTGAAATCTTTCAAGAGCGAAGTGACTGGTGTTAGCTACTCTGCCATTTACTTTGAGGAGAATGAGGGATGCAGTGAATTGCCAGATAGATAGCATATTATAGAGCGTTACAGCAAACTGATATCAACTGTGACCTCGGTGGTTGTCAGGCTTTCTGTCTCTTTGGAATTGTTCATAGTTTGCTATGTGGGGGAAAAGTTTTGGGAAGGACTCAGCCTGCATTGACATTGAGAACCTCTTAGTTTAAATATCCTGTTTCTTTTTCTGTCGTCCTTTTGGGTATATTTTTAATTGGTGTGTGTGTGTGTGTGTGTGTGTGTGTGTGTGTGTGTGTGTGTGTGTAAGTGTAAGACTTTTCCACTCTTGTAATGAAAGTGTTCTGTATCCAAAGCTTTTATTGACCTTAAAAACTTCAGAAAGGCAAAGGGGATGGACATTGGAAGAGGGAGAAAACAGGGAATAGGACAGGAGCCTACCACAGAGGGCCTCTGAAAGACTATCCTGCGGGGTATAAAAGCAGATGCTGAGACTCATGAGCAGAGTGCAGGAAATCTTATGAAAGAAGGTGGAGATATGAAAGACATGGAGGGGACAGGAGCTCCACAAGGAGAGCAACAGAACCAAAAAAAAACTGGGCAAAGGGGTCTTTTCTGAGACTGATACTCCAAACAAAGACCATGCACGGAGATAACCTAGAACCCCTGCACAGATGTAGCCCATGGCAGCTCAGTGTCCAAGTGGGTTCCCTAGTAATGGGAACAGAAACTGTCTCTGACATGAACTCAGTGGCTGGCTCTTTGATCATGTGCCCCTGAGTGGGGAGCAGCCTTACCAGGCCACAGAGGAAGACAGCCAGTCCTGATGAGACCTGATAAACTACGGTCAGATGGAAGGGGAGGAGGACCTCCCCTATCAGTTGACTGGGAGAGGGGCATAGGAGAAGAAGAGGGAGGGAGGGTGGGAGTGGGAGAGGATGAGAGAGGAGGCTACAGCTGGGATACAAAGTGAATAAACTGTAATTAATAAAAAAATAATCTTTTTAAATTCCTCTTTAAATAAGCCTAGAAAACATTTTTTAAGTAGTTGACATATTTATGTTATTTTGACTATTGTTTCATAAGAGTAACAGAAGACTTTTCAGAAAAACTTGCCTGAAAGTGAGATTCTTTGGAAAAGTAAAAATGTTTAAAATTCAACTGTATGATTTTTCAACTTGCATTTTTAGAAACACGCTTGATTACTGAGTAAACTGCATTAAATGTTATTCTAAGGCAAGTATAACTAATTGCTTGCAGTAAATTTATTGTTGTAAAAGTTTGGGTCAAATGCTAGAAAAGAGCCATATATAGTAAATGTAAATGGGATTAAAAAGAGAATAGAAATTGCAAAGCACAGCATTACTGCACACGTGATTCAAGTGAATTGCCGAGACTAATGTAGTTTTAGATTGGAGAGAAGAACACTGGGACAGAAGTCACAGTTGGGTGTTAGGAGTCATTCCTCTGCTCCCTGCCTATGTGTGGACCTTGGATAGTTCATTGAACCTTGATGAGCCTCCAGTTTTTCAAATATAAAAGCACTTGCTTGCATAACAGATGACTGTAAAATCACATAGGATAGCAAGAGTGAAAACGTAAATTATCATACATGAGTTAGTATGAAGATAATTTCTGTTATGATTTTTATCTGGCCTAGTAGCTCATATGTTTAATCCCATCTCTGGGAGACAAGAAAATCTGGAATTTGAGGCCAGCCTGAGCTACATCGTAAGACTCTGTGTCTAAAAATAAAAATATTTTTAGGGCAAATCATCTATTCTAATACTTAACTCTAAATTCTTCAAAA